AGAGAGAGAGAGAGAGAGAGAGAGAGAGAGAGAGAGAGAGAGGTCTGTAGCAAGGGAAGCATATTGTGTAGCACAGTTTCCACAGTGGAACAGTCAGTGAAAAAGTAAAGGTGTGAAGTGTATACTACCGAGTTTCCTAGAAAGTACTTCAACGCCAGCAATTTATATCAGCAGCTGTTTATACAAAAAAAAAAAAAAAGGTTGAAACAATACAGTCATTAGCCACAATAATGTGACCTCTTGGAAGGAAGGAAAACTAGATGAGGAGACACTAATAAGAGGCAGAAATCTTTGAATTGCCCCCTTTTAGAGTTGGCCTTGGAACTGTATGCTTCACATAACATGTTATATAAACATGACTAGACCTAAATTAAAAATTAAAGTGCAAGCCCTAAAGATAAATAACTAAATATAATAAGTGGATCTAAATGTTCCAGGCATATGTGACTACAGAAAGAGTTGTGAAATGAATCACTCAGGCAGCTTCAGGACAGAAAAAAAATATGTAATAATATTGCTACCAGTAATGTTGGAATTACTGTATATTATAGAGCAAAAAGCAAATACATAATTATGTTAATGTTAAGAAGCTAGGTAGGGTTTGTTTGTTTTAGGTATACATGCCTATATGTTTATATGTGTATCACATATATGTCTGGTGCCTGAAAAGGCCAGAAGAGGGCACTGGAACCCCTCTGGAACTGGAGTTACAAGAGATTGTAAGCTAGCTACCTGATGTGGGTACTGGGAACTAAACCTGGGTCCTCTGAAAGAACAGCAAATGCTTCTAACTGCTGAGCCAAAACTCTAGCCCCAATTGCCTAGCATTTAGAAACTAAATGCAATATAGAAAGCCAGAAGTATCATAAGAAAACTGTAGGTCAATATTCCTAATGAGAATAGATGCAAAACTCCTCAAAAAAAAAAAAAAACAGTAAATAAAATAACCAACATTATATAGGGATAATGTACTGTGGCCTGCTAGCCTATCCCAGAAATGCAAGGTTGGTTTACTATAGGATCACCAAAACTTTAGGGAGCTTAAGACATTCCACAGACTAAGAATAGAAGGAACTTCTTGCTAAATGGCATGGAAAACTATGCTACTTAGGGATGAACTCCACACACACACACATGCCCTAGCCACTCCTACCCAGTCTTGCTTTACAATCTCTAGGCAGGACAATCAGACAAGAAGATAAGTAAATAAATTAATGGATAGCTTCTAGGTTGGAAATTAAATAAAATTAGCTATTTGTAAATGACAATTGTGTGTGTGTGTGTGTGTGTGTGTGTGTGTGTGTGTGTGTAAACTTCATACAAACACAAGGGTCTTTTACACAAGTGTCACTCAGCTAGCAGTAGAAGTAGGACACCACAGGGCTAAGGAGAATAAAGTCCTGCATCGGCTGAGGTCTCTCCACTTCTCTCCTACCCTGATGGCTGGAAAGGACGTGGGGCTCCCATTTAGCCTGATGCTGCATCTGTGTTCTTGCCACAATGTGAAAGCTGAATGGTGACTGGATAATGCTTATCTTCTCTCCTCTGTGTCTCCCTCCAGCTGCAACAGCAAGCTCTACCTGGAGACACTCCCCAACACCAGCATCATCATCCCTTTCCACAACGAGGGCTGGTCCTCACTGCTGCGCACTGTTCACAGCGTGCTCAACCGCTCACCCCCAGAACTGGTGGCGGAGATCGTGTTGGTTGATGACTTCAGTGATCGAGGTAGGCCCTGCCCACCCTGGCTCTGCTCCCTAAGTTCCATGCTTACAAAGGGGTGCTCCCAACAAAGGAGTTCTCCAGCAGTGTGATATATGATTCCCTATTTACTCCACAGCTATTACACAGACCTTGTATCTTACACGTGATCTCATTTCATGTTCACAACATCCCAGCAAACAGATCCTATTTTAATTCCCTTTTGTTGGTTTGGAAGTGCATTAAACTGTGAAGAACAGACAATTAGATGATTAATAGCTGGCATAAGCCATGGATCCGTTCACTCTCCTTTCTACCTATGTATAGGACTGGTATATCTTGTGTTTGGGGGCTGTCCCAAGTTTGCTTTCCATTGCTATGATGAACACCATGACCCAAAGCAACTTAGAGGAGGAAAGTGTTTACTTTTGTGGTCAGAGTTTATCATTGAAGAAAGTCAAGTCAGGAGAGTAAGCAGGAAGTGAAGTAGAAATCATGGAGGAGCACTGCTTACTGGGTTTTTCCCTAACTTCTGCTTAGCTAGCTTTCTTACACAGTCCAGGCCCACTGCCTAGGGATACCACCACCCACAGTGGGGCAGACTCTCTTACGTCAATTAGCAATGAAGACAATGTCTGACAGACTAGTCTGATCAAGCAGGTCAACTGAGGTTCCCTTTTCTGAGGTGACTCTAGGTTGTGTCAAGTTAACAGTAAAAACTGATCAGAATAGGGGCTGTGGCTTAAGGGAAAAAAAATAAAACAATTAAGTAGTTCAATGCTTCTTCCCCTTCCTCCTGGTCACGAAACTGCTGCTGAACCTTTGTAAGTTCTGGGTGAAAGACACAGCCTCCTCCAGTCAAGCTTATACATTTTTCTCTAGAAGGTGTTCCAGAACCTTGTGGCCAGAACTCTGGGATCTGGTCCTTCTGTCTGTGTGGGAGGCCAGGAGCATGAGGCTTTGTGTCTGTGATAGAGGTAGAAGGAGGTTGGAGGTGTGGAATGAGGGTGTCAAGCGAGCCTGCCTGTGGCATTTACCATGGCCCAGCACAGGCACGGAGCTTGACTTTGTCCGTACACAGAGCCTCTTGACTGTGCATCTCACCCAGGGCTTGAAGGAACACAGAGGTGTGGCCACAAACGAAATTCAAGACAGACTGCCTTCCAGCTCATGCCTCCCACTTCTAAGCTGTCCAGTAAGGGCTGTGAACCTGTGATGGCAGTGGGAGACCTTTCTCCTCACACAGCTCTTAGCTGCAAGCCTGGAAGTAGTTAGCCTCTGACCTTGCCCCTGACTCCCACTTTCTCTATGACCTTAGCCTGGTACCCGACCCTGTACTATGCTTCCAGCCCCTTATGTATAAAAAGAAATTGTTAAGACTGACTTCCTTTTGGGAACCCTGACTGTTAAATGGGTTACTAGATAGGCAGTAAGGTTTAGGGTGGTGTGTCACCCAGGTAAAATAAAATAAATAAATAAATAAACCTGTTACTGCTGAGTGTTACTGCTGTTTCTTGCAGTTATTTATGACTGGTTTATGGTAGACTACCCTTTGTCCCCTCTCTCTTGCTCTCCTCAGCCTCCTATCCCATCCTCTTCCTCTGGCTTGGCATTGCTACCCTCAGGTCAAAGAATCCCATTAGATAACATAAAGGTGTCTGTGGCCTGAGGGAGCAACTGACCCTCCACTGGGGCAAATGGTCTTCCCAGATTTCCTAATAGATGTATTCTGAGGCCTCACCCACTCTTATAGTCCCCAGCTTGTGCACCTGCAACAGCAGAGTCCATAGGACTCCATCACTCCCAGGGCCTCCAATCCTTTTACAATGGCTCCTCCACAGCTGTCCTCAGTGGCCCCACTGTTGGAGCATCCTGGGAGATCACACTGGTGGGCTTCCTGTGGCATGTTGACTTGTTCATCTGTTCCTCTGTTTCCCTACCTTTGCATGGTATCTTTTCTGAGGAGCTCAGCTGTGAGTCGTAGCCCTGTAGTGGATAAACGATGGTGGTGTATCCTCTTTGGATTAGCTGTGGGCTGCCTGGAGTGTTGACATGCTGAGGTGACAGCCTTAGGGTGAGTCCCCTTCCGCAGAGTTAAGACTTTGGTCACACAGATGGGGAAACAGAGCCACGGCAGATGCTGTCTCTAGGTAGCACACTCTGCTCACCTGTCCCCACCTGTCCTAATAGGAGTCAGGTGACATTTTACAGGGAGCTGGGTCTCGCCGGGTCTAGGAATCCTAGATCTTCAGTAATGGTCGCTTGGTGTCACTACAATGCTCACAGGCTTGCAGGTTCGCCTATCTATTCCCTGTCTCTGTGACCACATATACCAACTTGCAGGCTTGACTCTCTACCCCTGTCACTGTGGCCACATGCACTGGCTTGCAGGTTTTCCTATCCATCTGTGGTGTCTCTGTGACCACACACAGTACCTTACAGTCTCTCCTACACATCCCTTGTGTCACTGTGACCACATACACTGGCTTCCAGGCTCTCCTGCCCATCCCCTGTGTCACTGTGATCACTTGCACTGGCTTCCAGGCTCTCCTACCCATCCCCTGTGTCACTGTGACCATATGCACTGGCTTCCAGGCTCTCTTCTCCTTTAGCATCTCTGACATCCTGAGCACTTTCCCTCATTCTCAACAGAGAGAATTGCTAAAACTCCAGCACTTTCTGAATATCAATTAGCTTGTAATGAAGGAAATCTGTAAACCTTCGGGGAATGTCTGGCAAAAACACAGGGTGCAAGAATCGATGCGTTTATGGGACGTTTTGTGCATCTTTAAGAAAACAAAGCTAGGGTTTATGAATCAAGCACTATAAAAATGATGTCCTGGGAAAGAAAAGAATTGGGTGAATCTGTTCAAAGTGCGTCTGAAGCATCAAGAGCTCTGGTGTGTGGGAAAGGACTGTTCCTGTCGTGGAAAATAGCTGCATTATATTTTCAGAAAGTGACACTTCCACTGAGGCGGTGAGCCGTCTGCATTTTAAAAATTTGCACAGCAGGAGCATTCAGCTGTGCATTTTCTCCCAGTTTTCTGTGGTGACTTAAACCTGTGTTGTGTGTGTGTGTGTGTGTGTGTGTGTGTGGGG